TGATATTGAGCACATTAACCTATAAATATAGTATATCTTAAAACTATATATATATATATATATATATATATATATATATATATATTAATTAACCACACATTGGAGATTGATCTTAAACTTGGGAGCCTTTTGTTCCACAATAGTCATACTCATAAATGCACCAATTTATTTATTCCCAGCCCACAAAAAGAAAAAAAGAAAATTGTTTTTACTGAAAAGGTTAGTGTTTCTTTGAGTAGGAGATTTACCAATAGAAAATATTAGAGGTGGGATATATAATGATCAAATTTTAGTAAATAAGACAGATTTATGGCAATTCTTTTTTAAAAAAGTGATAAATTGGTTGGACTTTGACCTGTTTTATATTTCATGAGAATATGTGCATTTACAAATTCATTCTTAATAACATTTGTAAAATGAGGTACTCTTACCCATAAAAGTGGAGGTACTCTTACTCATAAAAAGCAATATTCTAACCAATGCTCCATTCCCTTGGAAATTAAATCTCTCAATTATTTAAAATAGAAGAGGAATAAAATAAATGACATGCATTTAAATCTTATCAATATTTATTGCAAACTAAACTTTTAAGGTATCAGAAATTTGTAAAGGACAATTGTTATACAGATACTAATATTTTGATGGCACTTTCTGTATTGGACATATTGCCTGTTCCTCTTCTGATCTTATTGTTCTAAGAAACATTTTTGTTAACTATTTTAATGATTTTCTTGGCATCAATTGTAGACATTTAAGTTGGCAAAAATGTAGAGCTTTTTCTAAAAATTTTGCTTTTGATATTCAAAAATTTTAGTGGATTTTTCAGAGTTTAAAGTTTTCTTTGCACTTCTTTGAAAGAAAATATTGGGTAGGAATTTATTCAATTTCTTTTTATCTTGTTCATCAGCTTCGTACAGTTGAAATATTTAAAACTCCATTTGATTAGCAATGCTTTCAATAATTTCACTTTCATTTTGAATAATTTATGTTAGGATTCTTGAATTACTAATGAGTTTAGAGCAAAGATTTTTCCAAACATCTTTCATTTACTTAACTGATTTTTTTCTCAAACTTATTTTAATGACATTTAAGATTGTGTGTGTATATATACATACATACACAAATCCTTTCTTACTTAAATTACTAAATTTCCAAATATGAAACAAAATAAGGTTTGGATATTGTAATTACTTTGTTCATAAGGACAATAACAGTGAAAAGAATGTGTATTATTTTTCTTTTTTTTCCCCTCTTTACAATGTTTTTTTTTCCTTTACATCTGGAACAAAATATAAAATAAACAATCTTTAGAGAGGGTGATCATTACTTAAAGCTTATATTTTGCCTCCAAATGATTGAAAGAATTTTTTTTATTTATCCCCTTGAAAGTGCTCAGATTCTTAGCTTAATAAGCAAGGCTTTTACCTTACAATCAGTTTTTGCATTTCTTCCGATATAATTATCATTAAATTCAGTTCGAGCATTTTTATAAATTTTTATCAAATAGTTTATAAACAACTTGGTATTACATAAGCATAGTGTAGGTTAAGTTTGATTTGGTAATATTTTATTTTTAAAAATAAAATTTAATAAATTTTCTTATATAATAATTATAGCTTCTGTCACATTGCTGCTGCTTTGAGTGTATGTAAATTCAACAACTATTATGGGATAGAGTAAACAAATCATCATTGTTTGATATTGGTACGGACTGGTCTGTCACAGTAGACTTAAAACACCACAAATTTCCAACTGAGATAATAATTACCCATTGTCCAGACATTGTAATTTGGTCAGTTAAATCCAGAAGAATTAATATTGAATTAACTCTGCTTTTTGAGGAAAACATTGGCGGAGTACAAAAATGAAATTTTGAAAAATATGAGGTCTTGAATGAAGAATGTGTCAGGCAGTGGATGGCCAGGATATTTCAGGTTGAGATTTTGTCGCCAATTTGGTCTCAATATACATGTTGCAATTAAAAACAAAGAAATGTTAAGAGACCAAGCAGAATTAGTGTCTGTATAGAGATGGCAATCTTGCATGACTTCACAACTCCTTCCTGAATTTGTAACTTATATAGATTGAAATTCATTTCATAAAAGTCAGTTATTTTGTTTATTGGCTACTTTAGAACATTTAGTGAACGGTTTAGTATTTTGGCAGGAGTCTAACACTGGATACTATATTTATTCACTGTACTAGTTAAACAATTGTGGCAGTTAGTTAGCTTGCTGGTCATACACCAAATTAGTATTCATTTGTTTCTCCTGAATTGATTTCACTGTTCAGTGAGAACTTTGTTTACAACTTAAAGGATTGTCCTAGGAGCATCAGCACTGGGTTTAGCTGTCGGTTGGAGGCAGAACAAAAAAGCAGAGTTGAATCACCACTCTGGTTATTAAGCCTTCAGTGAAGGTACATGGGAAGTAGAGTCTCATCAATGATGCTGTAGCCCCAAAACTATGTCTGAACCAGGGTCATCACCAAATGAAGGATTTGTTGGAGGCACTACTGTTGTTCTTGTTGCAGTAGTCATTGTATGAATTTATCTAACAAATCTTATAATATTGCAAAACACAACCTGATCAAGTCTAACAATGTAGATGATGCATGTATGTTAGTTGGATGTTGAAATTTACCATTTTTTAAATTTTTTTTTATTTTCCAATATAACATTTTTAACTCAGGAGTTTTGTAAAAGGGATTATACTTGTATAAGGTTTAAATATAAACTTTCCAGTGTCTTTAAAGAGTACATTTTAATGAATTAAATGATGAAAATTTAAATGTGATGCCATCATCTTTCACAATGCTTTTTAGTGTCAAAATGGCTTAGTAAAAAAAAAAAAAAAATAGCATTAATAATATTTTTTTGATTATTTAAAAAAAAAAATATTAGAATTTCAGTGAATAAAGCAAAAATAATTTTTCTCTGAATTTCAAAAATGGAAAGTTACTATTAGACATTGATTCTTTCAAATCAGTTTCCATAATACTTCAGCCACTATTGTCATCAGCTTTCCTTTGGTATTTATCATATTCAAGTAATATCACTCAAGGTAGAGAGTTACATTGGGTGGGGGGGCTTTGTGTATATAGGAGTGGAAGATAATGGTTAACCCTGGCCTTCAACAGGTTAAGATTTGTAGTGATCAGGGATACATCCTGTTGGGAGTTGGTTCCACAAAGGTTCACAGAAAGAAGCTACACAAGTGGTAGTTGCTTATCACCAATGGAATACAGAGGGAATGTGGGTGGTTTGCTACTATGTAAATGGCATGGCGTGTTCTTGCTGTGAAGGTTTGCCTCGGTGGAACCAGGGAATGTAGTTCATCCAAGCACCTTCCATAGAAGTAGTGGTAGAGCAGGAGGAAGAAGTTGTAGGGTGGAGGTAATCTATCACCCACAAGGCTGGAGAACAAGATGTGGGTAGCACTTTTGCCCAAATATGACAACAATACTCCATTTTTGGCTTGATCTGGCTCTTGAATAGAGAATAGCAGGAGTCAGGTACTTACTGGAGCGGTACAGCAATTGCAGGCAATTCTGAATGCAGCAAGGGTCGAACTACATCGCTCCTTGCAATAGATATTGAAGCAATCGTTTTGGTGATTTGTGGTTGCAGCACATTTAGGAATGAACCAGTTTGACAGTGGTTTTTGTTGGAATCTTATTTTTTTTTTGGTGTGTGTGTGTGTGGGGGGGGGGGGTATAAAATTCTCCATTCCAGAAAAGATCCAATCAGAGGCAAGGGCAGCAGTTTTTGAGGCAGCATGCTTGAAGAACTCATTGCCATTTTCGTAATGCTCATTGTAGTAGAGACTTTGTAATTGCAGATACAACTAAAGTAACGCTGTTAAACAATACTGATGTAAGATGCCTTCGAATAAGACTCACACTAATAGTACTTGCTTGATAATACTCACTCGAAAAGTAACCACCGAATAGTAATCCGTACAGTGATTTGAATAGAGAAATAGTATAGAGATAGAGAATAGTGTAGAAAGAGTGATCCGTATAGTAATAGAGGATAGAATAGAAATAGTGATCAATTAGACACCTTGCTAATTCCCATATATTCTTTCTTTTTCTTCTTTTTATGTGCCGTGTCCTTTCAGGACATAGGTGATCATGGCTCCTCAATTCCCCCATCCCTTCTGGCTCTCAATAAGTTGACAGAAGAAAAGTCCAACTATATTTATTTTTTTTTTTTTACATCATTAATTTTTCAAATAATATTGTTTTCAAAAAATATCACCATTTCAGTCATTAACATCCTTACAACTAAGACAATGAAGATCAAGCTCATACATTACAGAATTAAATAATTTATAAATCCTCAATTCAAGTGTCTTATGTGACATAGCCTACCAGATAAAAATGCTGGTAAAGTTCAATCTGGTTCCCTTGCAGTAATGAGTTAAATCCCTGGGTTAAGCTGGGCAGAAATATAAACTGGCTCAGTGGAGAGGCTGAGTAACATCCTAAGGAAACATTGATGGCTATTTCCTAGGAAGGACACCAGACATAAAAGGTAATAGAATGAGGCCAACAAAACCCTTAAAGATCAAAAATGTCTTGTTCAGTAGTGCCGGATATACCACAGTTGAAATGTTTTTGTTTTTTTTTAAAAAAAAAAAAGGAAAAATAAAGAAGAGGAAACTGGTTCTGAATTAATCAATGTATAAAAATAACTTTGAAAACTATTCAGAGAGTATAATTTTTCTGTAGGATTTTAATTTCATAAAGTAAAAACCCAAAACATCTTTCACTCAAGAATAATGATTCAGTATAAAAAAAACATTATTGAATTTTAAGTATTTTCTGATCATGAAGGTTTTTCTATAACTTTCCATCACTTATGAAGTACAAAATAGTAATTAAAAGTTTCAAAATGCATGGTTAAAAAAAAAGAAGGTAAAACCAATCCCCATAAGTAAAATGAATAAAGAAAATTTTGAAATGAGACAAGAAAAAAAAATTCCTGAAAAAGTGAATTAGTACAAGCTTTCATGCCAGACACTGATAGCATTTGTGATGTGATCGAGTTGGTGTTGGAAAAGTGAATCTTTGAGACTGATGACCCGTTTACAGGACATGAGACGAGCAATGTCATGATATGTCTTCAGGAATTTTAAACTTCGATGATATAAAGCTTCACTGTTCTGCAGTTGGCAGGAATTCTCATCCCCAGTAAAAATCATGAAAATGTCCGCTGAAAGATGAAAGAGAAACAATATTTGCTTTAAATAAATAAAAATTCAAGTGGAAAAAATTTCAATAAATTTAATTAGTTTTATGAGAGGAAAGACTTTTTTTTTACAGCAATAATTGTCTTTATAAAAAGAATTTATTAAGTGTATTTAAAATTTTTAATAAAATTAGTACATAATTCTATTCAATTTTTTTTTTAGTTAATTGTCAAAACTCCTAGTAAATAAAATATATTACTGCTATCAAAACTTTAAAATGCAAATGAAACAATAGATTATGATTTCATTTGATGAAACTTACAGAAAAGTGGAAAAAGGTTTGAGAAAAATGAACATGGCTTTATTTTTAACAAAAGAAAGAACACGATTTCTCCAAATTTGTTAATGAGAAAGAAGAGAGAGTAAAGGAGTACAGATTGTATTAAATACAAGATACACACTCCATGTAGGTACCTCTACAGATTCGTGATACCTAAGGTTTAAAATGAATTTCAAAAAATGAAATGGATTTTTCTTGAAGCTTTTATTTTAGTTTTAATTTCAAGCTATTAAATTTAATATTTCCAATAAGCAAAGCTCAAATTTAAGTTGATTAGAATTATTATTTTTTTTTTTTTAATTACTAAAATCGCTCATATTGACAAATCTGTCAACACAACATAATTCTCTTTATTAAAAAAAATCTTCCAAAAAATAAAATATACTTTTCTGAAACTTTATTTGAGGAATATTAGCCAATTTAAATTATAATCTGATCTGAAACAAATATTATTTACTTTAGTTTTAAAATATCATTTTTTAACATGGCACTGTTTATTTAAGCTGTTAACATGTTTGACAGCATGATGACTGATGTAGATTTATCAAACGTTCTACAGTAACTTTATCTTTAAAAAAAATAATTGCAAATATAACATGAGCACTTTTTATATAATTTTTAAACCCTCAGTAATGTTAAAAATTTAAGAAAATATTTTCCATAATCTAATAGTCATTGAATTTTAGATGGTTTGGCTTTAAATTTACTATTGTTATTGCTCTTATTTTCTGATAATGTTATATACGAACATCTGTACCTACAAAAATTGGCGCATTTATGCACATACAAAAACATGTGAAAAAAAGATTTTTTACCAAGATTTTCTAAAAAACATTTCTGAAATAATTTCATTCATTTGCAAATAAGTCCTGAAAGTTTCATTAAGATCCAATAATTATTTGATTTTTTTCAAGAATTTTCAATCACTGAAAAAAAGATTTGCTATGCTAATTTATAGCTCATCCATTGATGCAAGAAAAACATGACTTAATAAAAATTTTGAATGTCCTAAAACGATTAAAAAATTTAATTAAATATTAAAAAAATACTCTGGTCTTTCCTTTTAATCAAGTTTGGGTCATTTTTTCATCACAGTATGCTCGTTTTTTGTCAAATTAGTGGCGGTACCTATGTAAATGTAGCCTAGAATGCTTCAAAGATCATTTCTCACAGCTATTCAATATAAGAGTAGATTTTAAAATCTTTCCAGGCAAATGGATTTAACAAAGTAGCAGCATTTGTTAAATTTCTTATGGAAAAACCTTATAGACAGAATTAATGTTTATGACTAAAGTGATTCAAAGCTTAAATTGTCTAGTGTATATTATATAGCGTGAAATCGTTTAAAGAGAAGTCATTTTATTTATTTTTATTTTTTACTAATTGTTCACTCAATACAAGGCCCAAGAGCCACTTAAGGTAGAGGCTTACTAATTGTGGTTGGTGCACATAAGAGGAAGAGGTAAGAAGTGCAGTTTAAAAGGATATGTAGGAAAGATATCGGTTAAGATTGTAGTGATCAGAGAAGTACTATCAGGAGCTTGTTCCATGAAACAAGAGATTTTGGGAGGAAGCTGTTCAAACAGAACTTTTTTCTTACTAATGGAGATGATTCATACCAGTTTAGCATGATTTTTGTAATGTAAGCAAAGAGTCTGGAGATTGGGGAGAAACGCCTAACCAATTGATCTCCGAACAGCTATGGAGGTAATAGGGAGATAGGGGCAAGAGATGGGAGGTAACAAAAACTAACATTGCCTTGGAAACAACAGTAACATGAAGAACAAAATGCCCATGGGTTTGACTTTACAAGACACCATGCCTTGCCAACTGCTGGTTTCTCCCCAGCTTTTATTGGCATAAGGCATCTTACAAAGATCTGATCCTTGACCAGTTGCAGAGAGACCTGTATCTAGCCAAACTGTCCTGCTGCTAGCAGGGAAAACATGGTGTTGACAACCATGTCTGCATGTGATTGGAGGCATCTTTTGCGACTGTACTGATGTGCTTTTGCCACAAAGTTAGGCCTCAGCTGTGAAGGTCAGCTTGAAGAAACTAAGGAATTAAACTTGTCAGAACATTTGCGATGGAAATAGTGATAGAGTAGTTAGAAGCTTCTGATGCTTCATCTGTGGGATATGTGTTGCAGAGTGGAAAATAATTCATCACCCACAAGGCCATGAAGACACTTCTGAACTGAATCAAGCTTGTAAGGTGAGGACTGGGCAGCTCCAGCCTAGATATGACAGCAGTACTCTGTATTTGGCCTGATCTGGCACTTGTAAAGATAGAGGATTATTTAATATATTAGCTGTAATATATACATTATCTTTTCCGAGACAATTTCTGATGTGAGGGCCAGTCATTTACCCATTTAACACCTTGGTTAAGTTAAAAGATATGTCATACCTGAAAGTGGTTTAAGAAATAATCATTGAGTAACAGAGCCAGATAGAGAGACAGACAAAACAAAATTTACCTCCCATTCTTTGCACAGCCTTTACAACGATCAGTTTAATATCATCTGTACCCTTAATGGGATCAATACCATTCTTCTGTTTCAAGTCAAAAAATATCAAAAATGTTTTTGCCCATGGTAAAGATGGGATGTCATTGAGGTACTCCACTCGGAAATATTCCACCTGTAAATCAGGAATTTCTCTCTGTATTTGGGCTGTGAGTTCTTGGTGGAGTTGGTTACGATTGGTGAATGACAAAGAACACACAAAGTCACCTAATTGCCTCTGACGAATCTCATCTAAAATGGTCTCTGATGATATCTGGAAGGAAAAAAAATTGGCTGACAATCAAATCTTTATATTCAAATACAAACAATTCAAAGAAGTTTAATTTTTGAAGAATCAAAGTTCATTAAACACATGGATAAATGCGAAATAACTTGGTTACAATCCAACTATTGACTAACTTTAACTGATTCAATTTCAAATGACTGCTAAGAACATACTCTCCCTAAATTTATAAACAAATCCTACAGATGCATGCTGGGATTTCTCCCTAACCAATAAAAATGGAGAATTCTCAGTTTTATCCAACCAATTTTGGTTCTTTCTTGCTTTAATCACTTGACTGTATCCCTTTTTGTGTGCAAACACTATTTCTACCTTGTGAACTTTTTGATGTATTACTGTTTTTTTTTTTTGTAAAAACTTGTGCGGAACCCTGTTAGAAGATCTGTAGAAAAATGTAATGGATTTTAGTGATATCACTAAAACCTCAGTTAACTCATTTTTGTGAATTTTGTAGGCTGATCAGCAACATCATATGAAACACACTGTAGTCTTTGAATTTACAAACAACAATGTCTATAGTCTGCTACGAATATTTGTAGGATTACTTCAGAAAATGATCAACAGTATTTTCCCTCCTCAAAATAGATATTTAAAAAATTGGAAAAATATTTATAACCGATAAACTCCAAGTTTAGTAAAATCTAACTTTTAGATTTCTGGAGCCTATATTTTTCTTATAAATATTGTGATGTTAAGTTAGTAAATTATTTTTTCAGTTAACCTTTGACCAGGGTTGTTTGTTATACAAACTGAAATTCTCAAACCAAAATTTAATTACTCACATTTTCGCATATTTATTCGAATATTAGAAAACACATGGACTGAGTTTGTTTACAAATGTAAGCAGTAATATTAACACCACTCACTGCCTATTAGCTGCTGCTACTATGAAATTACACACATACATAAAACTATGTAAATATGTTACATGCACATTTTCATATGTAGACACATTCTGTTCCTTCTATACTAATGGTTAATACTTTGGTTAAATATTTTTCCAATTTTTAAATATCTATTTTTAGAAGGGAAAATACTGTTGATCATTTCCTGAAGTGAAATTTTGTGTGAAGTTGTTTCACAAAGAACCTTTGTATTTCTTTCAATTTGAAAGAAAACTGATACTTAATAAAAATTTATTTAAATTAGAGCTATGTTTTTCTTCATTTTATTCACACCTATTCCTCTACACTTTTATATATATATATATATATATATATATATATATATATATATATATATATATATGACACACACACAAGTTTATTTATTATCATTTTTCCCCTGTTGTTTTCCTCTTCCTATTGTTGTTGATAATTTTTGTCAATTATACATAATAATTTGTTGCCTATTGATAATTTTGTCAATTATGTTTAACCCTGGGCAATTATTGCACATGGACAGCAGGACTTATCTTTGTTGTTATGACCCATTCTACAGTGGTCTTCAGGTGTAGAATCTATAAAGAAAAGAGACGGGTCTCTTTTCTTTACAGGCTGATAGTAGACATATTAGGCATAATATATACCAACTGGCTTGGTTCATTTCCAGCAACAGGTTTTACCCAGACATTTTAATTCCTAGCAAACTAACATTAGTGGATCCATATTTATATGCATGGACATTCCTCAATTATTTAACTGTTGAGCAAAGAAATTTCAACAAATCTTGGAATGAGAATGACTACTGAAAATCATAGACAAAACTTTTTGGTTAGTACAAGTTTGCCTCATTCAAATAGGAAATTTTATGTGTGTAGTGATTTTATAACATATTTATGTTATAATTTTTAAATAAATAATTTTATTCACTCTACTCTGTATTGAGCACTCTTTTAAGAATAGTAATTGTTGGTTATTGGAATTTATTCCGTATATATCAATCATATACTTGTGTGTGTGTGATTGTTGTGTGTGTGTATATATATATATATATATATATATATATATATATATATATATATATAAAAAACCTATCCCTTGTCAGGCTAATTTTGAATTCAGAGTTTTCTCGTAGTAAATGGATCCATACCTTTCCCAAAGGTGTTTGTGCAAAAGTAAATGCTATTCGGGTGAGTGAGGTTAATCTCTCGTATACGTCTTAGTTGCGTAAATACACAATAGTATAGAATTTTTTAATAACACTGTTACGTTAATAGTATTGAGACCATACTGAACAAGAATGGGGTAATCTTTATAAAGCATGTTGATTACCTCCTGGAGGCCCTCAACAAAGACACCTACACTGTCATCAGATGCTTCAGGAATCGATTGAATTTGAAAGTCTTGTCCAAGAGGAAGAAATTGACTTTTTTCATGTAGTACAGGCAAGCACTTTTGTAACAAAGAGCTTGCATAAACCATAAATTAACTACTTAGCAGAAAACAGAAAAAAATGAAATTAGGTTATTTTGGCATTTATAACGAACACCTGGAGGAATAGATTACAATTCAGGGCATGAACTCTGTTTAGGATGTCACTGTTGCTTTGAATAGCATCAGGAACATATTCCCCCCTTCATTACCAGCATTGGAGATTTTGGTTTCATAATTGCTGGATATCATGCTGATAACAATTGTCATTTTCAGCACAAACCCCAGGAGATTGTCTTTGCTTTATTACACACACAAGCAGAAATGTGCAAATGACAAAGTACTAAAAGAAAAAAAAATGAGTTACATTACTTTGAAAAGAAGTAATCAAGCATTTGGTACCAGAAAGCATTCATTTTTTTCTATTCTTTATTTTTTATCATTAGAGTTTCACATAGGAAACAAAATTCCACATTAAATAAATTTGGGGAGGTTGGGTAGTGAGACAAAATTACAGAAACACACAGGGTTGCTGAAAAGTCCATGGGTGATGTTGGCAAATTAGGTAGACCAAGAACTTTTCAGATCAATCGTGTGTGTATAATGGGCTCTTCCATTGATTTCAACACGTTAGGGTTCACTTAACTGAACAGCTAGTATTGAACACTTGTGCAGAAACAGTCACTTTTTTGAAAGAACTAAGAAACTGTTGTTTGATCAGGCATGGGTTAAACTGCTTGGCCACATACAAAAACCGAGCATATATGAGCTTTCGATAATTAGTGCTGACCAATGTAATGTATGGAGTGAACAACAAGTAGAATGAGTAAATATGTGTTCTTTAAAAGCATAATTGAAACCTTGCTGAGCTGGGACACACTATGTGGCCAAGTTGTCTAAGGAATGCCAGATCAGACTATAGTTTCTCTTACAAAGTGGGACACAAGTTCAAATGCTGTGAGAGCACATCATCTTTAAGTCTCTTGATTGTGCAAGCTGGTAAATGTAATTTACACTGTTGATAAAAAAACAGAGCATCTAATCAAACATAGGTATCCACAAAATAAAGTTAGGAGTAGCAGGAAATGTGTGTGTGTGTGTGTATATATATATATATATATATATATATATATTTATTGCACACACACATTTACTCATGTTATATATCACTCAGGTTTTTCATTATTTTTGATAAAATTTAGATTATGAACAATAACATTCTTTCTAATCAACTTCATTCTTTCACTTGTGTTTGTAGAAATAGTTAAATAAAAAACACATGTAAGGCATTGTCTGCTGCCTGACCATTTAAGTCCAGACATTTTAGTATTGTTAAAAAAAAAAAATGTTATTGTTTTGTTACTATTTAGTCTTACTTGTTAAGCTAAAAAGATTAAAGATTCAAAAAATCAGAAAGAAAAATAACTGAAAATTTATAGTGTAGCATGACCAACAAAAATTCACTTTACACTAATAATTATATAAACTGAAGTGCCAAAAAATTAGAAACAGCTGTACATGGGCCGGTTTCTCTTGGCCCCAATTGTAGACATGAACTTAGCCAGATGATGTGCATGTGATGTAATAAGTAAAGAGGTAATGTAACTGTGGTAGCCATGGGATATAGATAGGATTTAATACTGTATGACTGCAGGACATTTGTTGGAGCTAGAGAGATGGGGCATTATCTCCAAGGTGGAAACTGCCTAAATTGGTTCTCAAGCAACAGCAACATGGTTACACTAGGAATGTAGATTTCAAATGGACATCAGCATTTTTCACATTTGAAAACCACAAGTGTCCATTGTTAATGCCATAACATGAATGCCAGTGGCTGATGAAAATTAATCACAAAATGAAAAGGAACCTTTGATCAAATCACTATTAGTACCACTGAATTCCATGAGTTTTCATAGTTATCTACCAAAAAGGTTATCATGATTGACACCATGGAATCAGTTATTGCAGCTCAACTTGGCCAGAGAACATTACCATTGGACCATAGAAGATTGGTACTGTGTTGTCTGGTCAGGCAAGTTATGTCTTCAGCTCTTTTCATTAGATGCTCAAGTTTGTGTATGGAGATTACTTGAAGCTAGCCTTGTGAAAGCTGGTGATGGATCTTTAAGGTGTGAGGAGTGTGTAAAAGTTCTATTGAAGTTTGCAATAAAAAAAATCCACTTAAACTGGAGTTTGTCTTCACAGGTGTAACATAAACAGATCTTGTTGCAAACCATTTGTTAGGTTTGTTGGTGGTGATAGTTTGTTCCAACAACAGTCTATCATATATGAGTGAGACAAGACTAGTTCCAGGAACACTCAGCCAACTTCCAGATACTCCAGATTGGCAGATTTAAACCCTATTCGAACATGTATGGGACAAGTTGCAGACTTCAGTAAATTTCCTGCAGTCATACCCAACAAATATAACAAGTTATAGACAGCCCTGCAATATGCTTGGATAGATATACCCACAAAAATTGAGGAGTTAGACATTATTACATAACTGCTTTTAATATTTAGTACTTGGTATTAAAATTCAGGTTTTAGATTTTGGCATTAAATTTTTAACTAAAATTAAACCACTCAAAGTAGTGAATTACAGCTGATGATAATGTTGTGAGATTGGAGTGAAAGTAAAAGGTGGTAGAAAGTGTGGATAAAGAGGATAGATAATGACTGACCCTTGACTTGAGGTTACGATTTAAGTGTTCAGGAAAACAACAAAGTGACAGTTTTAGGGGAAAAAAAAACTATGAGCAGAACTTCCTTCTTACATTTGGGAGACATAGAAAATAAGAACAATATAACTCTTATGGAACCAGCATGAAAATTTGTAAAAGTTGGAACTAGTAGAAAGAGAGAGTGGAGTTTGTTTGAACATTTTCTATGAGAGTAGTGATAGGCTTATGACTTTGCATGTGAGAAAAAGGCTGCAGAGTGGAGAATAAGAATTCCTCCACAAGATCACAAATGATTTTAAATTCTATGAAAGCTGGAAAGTGACAATTGAGCAGATCCAATCCAAATATGGCAGCAATACTCCATCTTTGGACAGATGCTAAACAGAATTGCATATTGCTATGATTGTTACATTATCAGAATGCAAAAATGCCATAATAATGAAATTAAAAAAAAGCTAATATTTGCAAGTTACTTACAAATATGTTTGCCCCCCCACCTAACCAGTGAAAGTGTAGATGGGCTAACAATGAAAGAGAGAATGGAATTGTCAAACCAAGTTCAAATTCCAGCTGAAGTAGTTGGCATTTGGTCCACACTAATGCGGTTGGGGAAAATAGGAATCCACTTCTTTACACAGCTCTGGGCAAACTGCCCGACGCAGCTCTTTAAGATAGTCCTTCTTTGGGGCATCACGCTAACAAACTGTTCTCATAAAAATCCACAGTTGCTCCAAACAATGATTGGCTCTCATTGAATTATTTGAGAAATGGAGACAAGGTGAAATGTGTCATTTGATAATGGAAACTACTTTGTCTTGAATATTGAAAATGGTTAAAGGAATAAGTGTGCTGGATTAAAAACTTATGGCCAATTATTGTAGACATTGCCTACTGACCTATATTAACTGGGACAGAATCAAGAATAGGTTTATATAACACAATTATCTAATTTTCTAAAATATCTTAAAAGAATAGAGACATGGAAGTAATTTACGTCATGTTTTCCTTTTTCTTGTTTTTTTATATTCAATTGCCACTTAATACATACAGCAGAATATACAAAGTAAAAATAAAAATACGGACCTGATTTGGTTTGCATTCAAAACCATTTCGAGGAGACAATGTGAATGTTGTTTTAATATTGTCATTGATGTCAGCAACATTTGACCTTCGACAGAACATGCATACCAAAAGAAAAAATAACAGCAATTCTCCTAAAGCCAACAAATAAAACAGCAGTTTGAATTCATCTGGAAGAAAGAAAAAAAATGTAATTTTTATTGTAGAAAACATTTCTTTTGTATGAAGTGGCTTTAATTTTCCATGAAAGACAAAGATTAATTTCATGCTCATCAACAATTCCTTTACTGTCCCTTGTTATATAAAGAATCAAATTTTAAGATTAAAAAACAAAACATTTTCAGTGTGGTAGGATTATTGGCATTTACTCAGCATTATATAGTTTTATAGACAAACCTCTATGTAATAGTTCAGTCCACTCGCTAGGAGATAGCAAATGTCTGTCAATTTTGTTGCTATTTTTATATTAAGTTAATAAAAATAATTTATGTGCTTTTTTATTGGTGTTAGTGTTTCTTTTTTGTATGTGTGCATGTGTACGCCTGTACGTGTGTATGTGTGCACATGTATAGGATGTCATCATTATTTCTTCTTTTTATAATTAATTTGTCACTATATACTCTCTTGTTATTTCTTTTCTTTATCTTTTGGCTCTGAGTGTCAAAAGATAATGAAGCAAAGTTATTTCCAAGGTCAGAAACAATTTAAAATTAAGTTAATATTCCAGAATATTCTTGGTACAATTAGCTCCTAATCAAAAACAAATATATGAGTAGTTTAGATATCAAATCTTTATACACTAATGTTCCTGTAAGCAAATGTCTAAATTTACTATAAATGCATTTAACTAAAACAAAAACAGAATTAGCTATTCTCATATAAAAATCATAAAAATGTGCATTTTATCATTGTTTTTTTTTCACCTTTGATAACAATTTTTATAGACTGAAATTTGGTTTACTGATGATGTTTCAATGATGTTTATTTTTTGAATTTCTGGAAAGTGGTCATTTTAAAAATATTTTACCACAAAATTCTTATTTCAGATACATAGAAGAGTCTCTACTAATATATCCACAAGACATAATTTTACCTGATCTTGTCAACAAATTAAATAACGTCAAACCCACAATAGACTTTACCTTTGGTTCTAAGTCTAATAACACTTTACCCTTCCTAGAAAGGAGACAATAAAAACAATATTTGCACATTTTTTGTATATGAAACGAATTCATGTTTGCATAACAGATAAAAAATATGAACGGAAGATAGAATTGGAAGGGATAATGGAGAAAATGAGAAGATACATTTAAAATGTATGTGCAGAGGCATGAGATAATAGATAATCTGAGTTGGCAACAGCCAGGAAATTTTCAGGAGTCCAGTTTGTAGGTCTAATGTTTATATTGTTAATAAAAAGTTAAAAGCTAAAACCTTTCTTAAGTGATTGTACACCCTTATGCAAATTAATTAAAACAAAAAAAAATAATTCCATCATTTACATTTTTGTTGTATTTTTTTCAATGAAACATGACCCACTGTACATGTTAGTACTTCATATATCCATTCCACAAAGTCTTTCCTTGCAGATTGACCACAGATTCCTGATTGCATTTAAATCAGGGGAATTTTCAAGCCAGTCAGTAGTACATTGAATTGCTCACTGGTAAAGCTTGCCATTGTGTGTTACAATTTTCGTATGCTTCCTTGGAGTAACATCCATTGCAGGACAACTAATTGACAGTAGAGACAATAGTGTCTGGGCATGATGAAAACCTGATGCAATCACAGATGATGCAATATTTTTCAAGGCCAAACAAATTTCATCATACATCCCGAAAATAAATTTATATTACTGCACACTACTGCAAATGACCTAATCTGAGGAAAAAATAGAAATTGATTATACCGTCACTCAAGTGGATCCAAAACTGACCATATGCTGAAAGAAAAGAAACTAAAGTGGTTGTTTCAATTAATTTGCACAAGTGTGTATGTATCTAACAATAAAGTCTTACAGAAGATTGATTACGAGTTACTCAATCAGTTATTGCCTACAATTAAAAAAAAATGTTTATTTAACATGGTATAATGTAACTACTGATCCAAAATACAAACTTACCAAAATTGAAAGGCTCTGTTCTTGACTGTTCTTCTTTGATTTGCAGTTGGAACAAATGTTGGTATAAATCAATAATCTTCTGCTCAGAATGTGTAAGATTATTCAGTGAGGCTTTTAACCATTCTGATGAGTTCTTTTGCATGTGAATACTATGTCGCAAATGAAGCTGGCTCATCTTAACAGCATCCTGAATGAACCTCATCTGAGCTTCAATTGAAGAGTCTTTTACAGCTAATTTGTCCAGGTTCCCACTCTGCTGAGTCATGTTGCCAATAGCATAATCCAATGACTTGTGAAGAATCTCCATGTATGTCTTCATGGCACGTAATTCTGTCTCATAGTCCTCGATGCGAGCAGACAATGACTGGATCAACTCATTGCTGTCCAACTGCTGTTTGGATAGTTTTTCATAATTACCAGCAATTAGAAAGGCTTTTTCCTCGGTAAGATATCTTTTAGAAGTGTCAGTCATAGATTGGTGAGATGATTTAGAATAAATGAAAGGAAGTGAGTGGGAAGAGTTATGTCCCTTGTAGAAATATGAGCATTGGATGGACCTGTTGTGATAAGAACGTGACAGTTTATTGAAAGACAGGTGTGATCTTGCTTTCTTTTTATTGAACAGCTGACGTTGCAAATTATACATACAGGATTCCAGGTCGTTGGCATAAAGGACACAGGAATCAATGATGGCATCACGGAACTGCACCAATTCTTTCATCTTGGGGCTGTGGTACCAGTAGGAACTAGATAAAATTGTTATCCAAACCAACAGGGAACTGGGGAAAAAGAAAAAGAGTGAGAGAGAATGAATCAATAATAGAGCACATATACTGGGTGTAACAGGATGAGATAATTGTCCATCCCACAAAATGTTTAATATCTAAAATACCACTAAACTAATTGAGTTTCTTTTTGTCCAGGTTTTCAGATAAGACACCATTTGTTGTAAGAATCACTGAAAAACCCTTTGAGTTATTCAGCTAGAAAGAGAACAGGTTAAAATAGTTTTGTGTCAGCCCCACTATGTCGTACCAATTGAGCAATGGTCAGAGGATAAAGATCATTCAGGGCTTCAGTAATGGTATCGACATTCAAACTATATCTTCCATCTTCAAAGTCCATTCAAAAACCATCAAGAGAACGGTGAATAAGCTTAAAAAAGATGGAACAGTAGAGAGTGAAAACCAGATCAAGAGGTCACAACAGCAGGAAGGATCATTATTTCAACTTAGAGCTAAATACATTTTTATTGTTCAAAGTAGAGTCCAATAGTGTTATAAAAACCTTGGAGAATTCCAGTAAGATATTTTTAATCATTTCTAAGATACAATGGCTCAAAGCTTAATCTAACAATTGGACAATTTTGCTGTTACACCCAGTATAAGGAAATATGAAATACATATTTAAACATATAATAGTTGTATTCTACCAGTAATCTTCTGTGCCATGTCACTTTAGAATAGGAGCAATCATAGCACTCCACAACTTTCTATCCTTTGTAGCTCTTAGTAATGCATGTCTCTTTAATCTCTCTCAACTTGCATTCCATCAACAAAATATACAAATTAAAAGCTATAAATGTTTCAGATCATAAACTGCAAAGTTTTATGCTTCAAATTATTTATTCTTTTAAAAGAAATTTATAATTTGTCCAAAACATCACTGTCAGACACACAAGTATTTTCTTCTAATGACTTGCTATAATCTCTGTACATTAAATGAGTAATTCTATAGTTCATTGTCAAAAAATAAAAAACAAAAAAAATTTAAATTACAATTTATTAAGAGAACATTATCAAACTTTATTTAATCTTAATAACTGAAATAGAATGAGAAAATGTTTTTTTGTTACTGGGATAATTTTGCCAAATTCATGCATGTAGAATGGAAATAAGTTTAAAAAAGAGGGAACAGTATAAAGTAAAACTTGATCAGGAGGTCATAACAGCAAGAGGGATCATCAAATGTGGTAAAATGCCATTGTAATTTTAAGATTTCTTTTTCATTATCTTCTGATACTAGATCTAAAGTCTTGGGATCTTATATATATATATATATATATATATATATATATATATATATATGTATGGCTACTAATGAGAGAAAAGTTAAAAAACAATAAAGAGTGAGTGAAAAAAAAAAAAAGCAAAAGATGAAAAGGACAAATAACCAGGACACTATAGACAGGTGCATGCTCACACACACTTGAAGAAAAACAAAATTGTACCAATGAAAAGTGCATATAAAAAAGAAAAATTGAGAAGTATAAGCAGCCAATTGCTGATCCCCCAAGGGTCTGTCTATGAAACTCTGGAGTTGGGGTGTTGAATGTAACATCAATCAGCTCACTGACAAACTTTTTACTTGTATTAATTATATATATATATATATATATATATATATATATATATATATATATACAAACTAAAACATTGTACATTGAAAGAATTAACTCTAAGTAGACAACTATAATATGCAAGTAACTATCAGTCTATTCTATCCTCAATTTTGCTGTTTTTCTTCTTGGAAAAGAGATTTTTATTGTTCTCACAGATTATACTTGACAAGTGCAAGAGAAAAGATCAACCAAAATATGTTAACAGCAACTATAGAGAGTGTTGAACAAAGTTATAGATAAAGAGAAACCCCTTTTCGCTACTAACTAGCTTCTATTGAGGCTAACAAGGAGTGTAACGGCTTTTTACTGTATGCACTGGTATGGCAGTAATGGAAAATGGCTTGTTTAAGTGGCCCTACACTATTTTGTCAACTATTGTGTAAAATACACAATAGTTGACAAAATAAGTGATAAAACTTTTGTCCATTGTTGATAGGGCACAATGTGGGGAGAAGAGTATATCCGGAAATCACAGGCAATGTAAACTCAAGTAGCCTCAAAGAGAATTTTAACTTTATGTCAATGAAGAGTGCATCCAGGTCAAGAACTTTCTTTTTGTTATTGGTAGCATCAAATCTAACTCTGTGATTTGGAATGTAAAGTGCTTGCCTTGTCCCGGGTGTGTGTATGTGTGCGGAGTGCAACTTGGAATTTTAGTAAAAAGATTTCCAGAGAATCAAGTCATGCCAAGGCTTAAATGATTCCTTCTAAAAATTTGATGTATTCAGACATTTCAATTTTTATCTACTGTGTGAAGCATGGAAGAGGAGAAAAAAAAAAAAAAAAAAAAAAAAAGGAAAAAAAGAAGAAACACTTAAACCTATACCTGTCACATATTACTGTGGTGAAAGAGAGAGGATTTGAAGAATCAACTCTCCATGCCCTAAGGAACAAACTGAACAGAGGATCATCTAATGGAACCAGTTTACCATATTTAAAATAATCTTTATAAAGATAAAACATTTCCCATCTAAACCTTGCTTCAAACTAGGTATCCCGAAGCTCCCTAGTTTACATTGCAAAAACACCTTCAATTTCAACTGCTGACATTTTGTTTATTTTTAGGCTATTTTGATAAAACTAGTATTAAAAAAAAATTCAATCTTTTTCTTTGTAAAGATATAATTTTTTCCATGTGTGATGATCAGTTTTTATTTAATTTCTCCTTATATTATGTCCCTATTTCAATGACAGGTACTTTTTCCCATATTTTCACAACTGAAAATTTCATAATCACGTTTTTAAAACTTGTTGGGTTCAGAGTTGTCTTCCTATAAACATCAAAATAGTCTCATCTTAAAAAAAAGAAAAAAAAAAGGGGGGGGGTCACTCATCAACTTTGTGGCTTTAAGATAAAGTTTAGAGTTGTCTTTTATAAAAAAAATTTCCAAGTTGAAACATTTAGTGGATGAAATACCAAAGAAATTCAACTCTTAAAAAATGAAAATTGCACCTTCTAGGGCAATGTTTCATCGTTAATAATCAGTTGGTTTCATATCTCTGCACCCATACAACTTGAGGTCCATGAAAACCAAAAAGAGGGTTTACTGTGTTCATTTTGCATAAAATTATTTGGTCCTTTGAATTGAAATTTGTATTACTGAGGTGAACCCCATTTTAAATCAGACTATATATATATATATATATATATATATATATATATATTTGAAAGTTTAAATATTTTTTAATAGATTTTCTTTAATGATACATTTTAAAACTATATAAAATATTTATTGACATGCTTAAAACGATGATATGACAAAGCTTTGGAAAGCTTGTTCTGGTTATTGTGGGCCGTTATCAGTCATTATCTCATCAGGTCACCCAAATAGCGATGTGTAGCTCTTTATTATGTCAGCTACTGCCTTGCTGGTTACCAGTGTGAGCATTTTGTCCACAACTGGTTATTTTGAGTACCTGCTGATAGTTAGGAGGTATTGCTGTCCACTGATCTCAAACAGGTCTGATGAGATATACTTCCATGTTAGAGATGGAATATTGTGTGGTTTGAGTGCTTCTCTTGTATTTGCATCTTGGTGTTTCTGGCAAAGTATGCAGGACTGGCACATCTTCTTTATGTCTTTGTTGATGTTTTGCCAATATACACTTTCTCTGGCAAGTCAACGAATTTTCTCATGGGCAAGGTGGAACTAGTGCAGAATGTCCTCTCATCGATTCTGGGATCAGAACTTGTTGCCCTTTGAAGAGGATTCCTGCTTCAAAAGCTAGTTCTTGGAATGACCAGAATGGCATATTTTTTTACCTGTTTTTTTTTCTATTGCCATATTGTGTTTCTGGTTGTTTTTACCTGGTGTAAATTTGAGGTTTTTTTTTTTTTTTTATTGATGTACTACTGAAAGGTGGGGCACAGTGGAATAATGGATAGTGGCTCTGATTGTAGAATCAGAGAGCCAAAATCGAATTCCAATCGAATCTATTACATTCATTTACATGCTAATACCCTTGGGAAAGGTATGAATCCTTGTCTTCTCCCCCCCCAGCTATGGGTAAATAGCGGGACAGACTGTTCTATAGCCTTGGATGGCAACTGGTCTACTACAGAAAGAAATGGCAACCTACTGCAGGGGAAAACAAATCTGCCTAGTCAGTCATGCATTGAAAGATACATGATCATGTATGGCACATAACTGACTGACTACTGAAAAAAATTACCTTCATCATGAAAGTATTCACTGTTGAAATGAAATTTACATAAGCAGTTAGAATTGTTCTTCTGTGTTGTTTTAAAGAATTCAATTTCCCCCAATGTTTAGGATGGTCTGATCTAATAATTATTGATTCTGTTAGCATTATATTTCTTTTACTTCAAGAAAACCGATATGAGATTACCTTTATAATGGCTTTTCATTTGGCTGAAGCCTGTATCTTCAGTTATGCATTGGTAAAATTGGCTGTTGATCCAGTAGCACACAAAATGGAAAATGTTCTACAGTTTGATGAATTTAAAATGGTCATAACTTAGTTGCTAATTGAGCTACCAAGATGAATTTGGTATCATCCTTTATGTTTCATTGAGATCTCTATGCCTATAGTGTACATATTTTTAGATATGTTGAAAATAAAATTTTACTTTGGGATACTTACTCAAACCCCTTAAGACATGGAATGAAATCATTGTGGGTTTATTTTATAAATATTCAAATATAAATTTAGAAGCAAAATAGAAAGCATAAAACCTAGGTGTTAACCTTATTACTGCTTTTAAAGCAAGCAAAGGAATTTGTATTACATTTCTTATTAAATAATTTACTATCCGCTTTTACTGTATGTCATCAATCATAAAATTTTTTTTAAAAAGCCTTGACATAACCTAAAAAAAAATAAAAAATCTTGACACACTCCTCTTCTCAAGCAAAA